GCGCGTCGCGAGCCGAGCGCCTTCGCCCGCCGCGGCGCACCGAACGCGGCGCGGAGCGCGTCCTGGAGCCGCGACGTCCGCAGGAGCGCGTCCGCGGCGACGCGCTCCGCGGCGCGCACCGCGGCGGCGACGGCGTCGCCGCTCGCCGGCGCCGGCGCGAGGAGCTTCGTCGTCTCCGACTCTGTGCGCGGCGCCGCCGCCTCGCGCGCCGGCGCGCGGTCGTCGGGCTCCGCGAGGCAGGACGCGAAGACGACGAGGTCCCAGGGCTCCGCGGCGACGCGGGCGCCGCAGTCCGCCGCGGGGACCTCGACGACGTCGCTCGCGCGCGGTGCCTTGGCCCGGAGGCACGCGGCCAGGTTCGCCGCGGCGCCGCCGCCGTCGACGACGACGAGGACGCGGGAAACCGCGCGCGCCGGCGCGGCGGCCGCGGGGACCCAGGCCGCCTCGAAGGTCAGGCCCGCCGCGAGCGCGCTCGCCGGCGGCTCCGCGCGCGGCGCGGCGGGTCCGGCCGCGGCCGGGCCGCCGTCGAACCAGCAGGCCGCCGGCGACGCCATGGCCGTCGGCGGGAGCGCGAGCGACGTGGTCGCGCCCGGCGCGAGGTCGACGCCGCGCGCGAAGGCCTCGGCGAGCGCCGCGGCGACGGACGCGGCCTCGGCGCCGCGCTTTTTCGGCCCGCGGACGGCGGCCGCGGCGGGCAGTTTGAGGCCGCCGAGGTGCGGCAGCAGGTGCGCCGCGGGGCCGACCTCGAGCACGAAGGCGCCGCCGGGGTGCGCGTCGCGGAACGCGGATGCGGCGCCCGCGAAGTCGACGCGGCCGCGCGCCTGGTCGCACCAGTAGTCCGGCGTCGGCGCCGCGTCGAGCCGCCGACCCGTGAGCGTCGAGTAGACCGCTACACTTCCTGAGCTCCGCGCCTCGAGCCCCGCGGCCGCGGCCCGCAGCGTCGGTAGGCACGGGTCGACGCAGGCGCTGTGGAAGCCCGTGCGCACGCGGAGCTTCGTCGGCGCGCCGCCGCCGACCTCGGCGTCCTGGAGCGCGAAGAGCACGCGGCCTAAAGCCCGCGCGTCGCCCGACACCGTGCAGCCGAGGGGCGAGTTCGCGGCCGCGACGCCGACGTCGCCGCGGACGTCGCCGGGCAGCGCGTCCAGAAAGTCGGCCACGGCGCCCGCGTCCGCGCGGACCGCGGCCATGGCGCCGACGCCCGCGGAGAGGCTCGCCATCGCCGCGCCGCGGCCGACGACGAGCCGCGCGGCCGACGCCAGCGGCAGGACGCCCGCGACGCAAAAGGCCGCGATCTCCC